AATTAATTGTAAATATATTATTTTATCTGAATGACAAAAATTTTGGTTGCTTTTTAAGTAAAACAAATATATTACTTATAGGCTATAGCCAAAACTTACACTTAATAAGTGTATTAACATTTAACATTTTAATGTATTATGATGTCAGAGTTTAATTTAATTTGGTACAATTAATTATTATAGGTATGAATATATTTTATTTTATTAATATTATGCATAAACATAAGTATACAATATACTTATACAATATACATACTTTTATATAAATAAATATGATTATGATTATTCGTTATTCAGATAACTTAAAATGAACATTAATCTTTGTATATATTTTAGTTCTAACTTTATAAGTGTTCTATAAATCTCAAGAACCATTAACATGTATGAATACTGTAATTATGCTTCTTGATACCAAATGTTGACTATAGTCCTTTTATATTAAGTCAATACCATAATAATCTACTAAGACAAATACATATTTTGTTTCTCGTCATTTTTCTTTGTAGGTGCCCCAAAGGCCAAAATCGAAATTTTTTAGTATGAAATATATTTTTGTATACATTCTAAGCTCTATTGATATTGTCTCGTTAATTCAGATTTTGATTGATTAAATATAAAAGTTAAGTTTTCCTACATTTAACAAATAAAGCTCACCGAAATACCTAAATTATTTTTTTGCGTGCGTAAATTGATTAATTCTCATACAACGATTTTCTATTTTTATTTGTTATTCAAAATAATAATTTTGTAATAATAATAACTTAACCTAATGTACCTACTATACCTAACAGTAAAATAAATTATACTAATTAACTAATTTACTTAGTAATATTATAGGCAGTCAGCCTACATATATAGGTCAGTCAGACTGTCATCGCACAGAATCTCCTCCTTGTAAAGGAAAAATATCAAGAAATAAAAAATAAATTTTGTTAAAATTACGTAAATTTGAAAATTATTAATTATTATTAGGCTAAAAATATATATATTTTTTAATCTTTAAAACTAGGGTTTGAAATGATAATACAACATTTCATATATATACATATATATATAGGTATATATGTAATATATTTCAATAATACAAAGTTTTTATTTCAAAAACTAAAAATATAAAAAATCCAAATACATATTTTTTTTATTAACATTATAGATGATATTATAATTTCAGATGAATTTATACATTCAAACGAAAAATGACGATTTTAGTTTACCTACGGTTATACTATAACTTATAAAAACATAAATTATTAATATAAATATAAATATACTAAAAACTTTTGGTCCATTGGTTTAATGAACCATCTTCGAAATAATCTATTATTTGAATTTAAATTTAACACATATAATATTACAACGACAAACTTAATAAATAATCATAGGGTACACTCGACCCCTACTATATAGTTTCCCTTTATTGACTTCCTTGATTTTTAGATGAATTCATTATTTTCATAAGGTATTCCAAACAAACAAACAATCACCAGTATATTGTACAATAAACTAATATTGTTATTACTTATTAATATATTATTCGATTTAATAAATAAAAACATACCGATGCCATTGATTGATTGATTTTTAGCCGAATTAGCAC